GGTTCCATAGAAATGTCACTTTTTGATTATTGAGGATGGGAGGGGAGGGGGACGTGAATGTGGAGGAGGGAGTTAGAGGTAGGCAAAAGAATGACAGGATAGGTTGTAAAAGAAATGTCGGTGCTACTATAGTACCTGGTATTTTGTTGGTTGGAATGATGAGGAACAATCTGAACAAAACAAATGAATACAGTAATTGAACACAAAAAATTTAGAATTGTCTAGTAATATCAAAATATTCGGAACTCAGTTAATTCGTATTTTCATTTAGAGGCGGCTGGGAGTCTGTTGTCAAATCAATGAGGGTGTAGTGTGGTCTGAATTAACCGAGTTCGAATATTTTGACATTATCAGACACTTTCTCAATCTTTTTGTTATTCAACCAACAACACATACTCAATTGCCATGCTGACTGCACAGTCATCTATTTATAATTACTGTGCAAACAAATATTTTTTAAGTGCACAAACAGTAATAATAAAGTAATACAGTAATAAATATAAGACTTACTGTACATTGTAGGTGAACTGGTAATATGTGGATGATATTCAGAAAGTGTAATAGTATTGAGGATCAGGTCTGGGGTCCACCTTCATCAAAATCCCCACCTACTCAGGAGACTTTCCTTTGTTTTATGTGTTTCTCCTTGTTTTGTTGTGTTAGTTGGCAGAGAGGGACCTATAGTGTTTTATCCCAGCTGAAGGGCGTAATTTGTGTATTATTGTGGGTTATAAATAAGTATATTAAATAGGCCTCCAGCGTCAATTTGCCACCAGAGGTTTAACAGTTAATTCTTGTATAATATTTCTGATAAACTTCCTACATGTTTTATGTTTGATATAATTAATGTATGAATCTTTATATAATTTAACCATGCTTTCTCGTCAGAAATGGTCATGAATAAACTCATTTAGAAATACATCATTACTTTGGGAAATCGGACAGCCAATCAGGTGTAACTCTTGAGGGCAGGGCATCTCTTCTCATTTGATAAAAATGCACTATAGTCAAATCAGCAAATTTCATCTTATATTTCTCCAATAGGGTTTTACTTCATTTACCAGTGTGGCCGTTACACTTATGGAATATCATCTACGATCTCACCTCTCATTATTTATTACTGTATTATTTACTTTTTATTGTAAGTACATTTTATAACTATTTATATGCACAATAATTATAGATATAATAATATGACAACCAAGGCAACTTTTGAATCACTCAGTTATTTCATATTAATTTCCAAATTCAAATCGTTCAATTAATTTTTTGAAACATACGAATTAAACCGAAGTACGAATTACAGCGTCCCTATTCAATGAAAGTCCAAAATTCATTTGTTTAAAATATTCAAAGTCAAAAATTCATCATTTAAAATATTCTAAGTCAAAATTATTATAAGCCCAAATAATCGTTAAGAATATTCTAAAATTCATCATTTAAAATATTCTAAGTCCAAAATTCATCTTTAAAAAATACAAGTCCAAAAATTGTCGTTAAAATATTCTAAGTCCTAAAATTATCATTTAAAATATTCCAAGTCCAATAAGTCTAAAGATTCATCGTTTAGATATTCTAAGTCAAAATTCAGCTTTAAAAATATTCTAAGTCTAAAATTCATCATTTAAAATATTGAAGTCAAAATTCTTGTTTAAAATATTTTTGTAAGTATTGCGTTATTCCTGGGCATATTCTGAGTAATAAATTTTTTGTATTTGTCATTCTTACGACGGCATCTGTGTATTATAAGACATAACGGACTACGTGGGGAGAGTTACTCTTCGACGGCAGTAATCCATATTTTTCTATATTATTGGTGAATGATAATTACATTTCCATTGGTTATCTTTCCAATTTTTTCAACGTTAGTCCTGGCAATGGCTAACCAGTAAAAAAGGCCATTTTCAAATTTCGCAATTTTTAGCCATTTTTCATAAAAATGACAATTTTTAAATTTTCAGCTATTTTTCTGTATTATTATATTTTTTTCAGGTTTGGTTTATTTTAGTTTTTTTATATATTTTATTTATATATTTTTTTTTATTATTTATTTATATTTTTTATATATATATATATTTTTATATACAATATATATATATATATATACAATATATGTTTTTTTTTCAAGTTTATATATTTTTCATTTTTATATAATGAATTAAGTTTTCAAGTATTTCATAAAATTATTTTGTGAAATCTGAAGCTGAACTTAGTCAATTTTAAAGTTAGAAAATGCTGGAAAGGTTAATAGGCGTAATGACATTTAGACATTTATTAATGGAAACTTTAATGTCTCTATAAATTTGCAGTGGGGCGGCACACCTGAGACAGAACCGTCTAGAACAGCATGCTGGGCAGGCCAGTCCAGGGGAGGCGGTAGTCCAGGGCAGCAACATACTAAGAGTGAAACCCGTCAGGGGCACGGTGGTCCAGGGCAGCAAGCACAACAAGGCGTCAGGGCAGCAACAGCACAAGCACAGAGCCGTCGGGCAGCAGCCAGCAAGCAAGTACAGAGTCAGGCAGTAACCAGTAAGCACAGTCTAGGGCAGCACGGCACTCCAGTGTTCAGAACAACATTTCTATACAAAATAAAATGTAAAATTAATATTCAAATTTTTTAACCATAAAAATGTTTTAAATATAGTAATGACAAAATGAATTGTAGTGTTTTAGACAAAATTCCTTAACACTTGACAGAACCAAATTTATAAACTCAATAGAAAAATAAGAATTTTTGTTAATTTGAATTTTTCACCAAATGATCCTTGAGAACAAGTGTCTAGGGAATATTATCAGTAACTGTACAGCAACTTAACCTAAGTGTACAAGTTATGGTTCATATTAACTAAACTATAAAAACCAAAAACCTTTCATTACAAAACTTACCCACAAGTGAGTTTAGTTTAACCATAATAGTTATTGATGTTTAACTACAATATTTCCTGTATCTTTGGTTCATAGTTTTGTTAATATATTTTAAATGTTTTCTTTCAATGACTTGACCCAGAACTTATTGATTTGTGATGAATATTTTTACTTTCCACTAACTTTACGTCAATGAATTCCTCGAGTGGGTCAGTCACAGGTCTGGTACAGTATTACAAGTGAATGTTGCTAAGAGTAATTTATTATTTACTAAACATACTCATCTTGTAGGTAACTTTATGTACTTTACTGAATTAATTAAAGTCAAGCATAAACATGACCAATAATTATTTCTGGTGTTATAAATTTGATGTATTAAACGATTGGTTACGGCCAGAGTCCAGTTTTGGGGCTTTTAACTTTGGTCAATTATTATGATATTCCTGTCATCAATAAAGGATCATAGGTACAGTCAGGATCAAAAGTGTTGAACACTTGGCAATATCTGTCATCTACTTGAGTTATATGATTGGGATATACTGTACTAATAACACAACAGTACTATCATATTATGCCTGAACCACAAAATAGGATTAAACTCTACTTAATACCAAAGATTTTCAGTACTGACATGCCAAATACTGTCAAATGTTCAGCACTTTTGACCAAGACTGTACATCAGTTCTAGCCCCATAATCCCCTTTCAATATTCTCGATCCTTTACACATTTTCTCTTATGTATATAAATTTAAGTATAATTTCTCCATTACTTTCTATTTTGTCTTGAAATTTATAGCACCAAGAAATCTAGTATGGTCATTGAATATCCCAGAGCAATTTGTTTGCCTTTGGTTTTAAGGATAAATTGGCAGAGAAATTCCAATCAGTGTTGGAAAAGTTCATTTTGACACAGGACGATAAAGTAAACTTTACTCCCCTGTAAGTGATCATTCCGAGGCAATTTTATATGTAGTATCTTGTTTTTTGTATATTTTTACATCAACTGAACTTGTTATATTCTTTACCTGAGGTAGAGAGGAGGGGTGGATGGCTGGGTCTGGGCTGTATCACCTGCTTCCTTTAGTTGTGTTGTGAATCACTTGCCATCCTGATATTGGAGAAGAGAAGCCTAGTACAGCAGTACAAGTGAGGCAAGATGTGTGGTACAGCAGAGTGCACACCTCTCCTTGCCAAGGTCCAGAACCTACTGGAAGTAAAGTCAAGTTATTATCTATAAAAAGTTTCAATAACATATTTTCACAATACTAATTTATCCTAATACAGTATTGTATAACATGACCCTAAACTGAAGGTTTTATCCTCTATGGAAGTACCACATTAATTCACTTAGTCAAGTACAGTGATCCTCAGTTAACAATACCTTCCATAGGATTCTTAACCGGTTCACAATTTCCTCGATTAATAAGTCCTTCTGGCGCCCTCAACATGTTTAAGCTTGCACACTAGCTATAAGTAATCGCCAATACAGTAATCGGTTCTGGGGCTTAAATTCATACTATTTTAGTAAATATCAAAGTTTGTACTATTCAATATTTTCAAAGTCTTGTATTAAAATGGTGCCATGGGGTGACTTCTCTTCCCCCTAATGCCTTCTCTTCTCCTTCTCTACCCCCATCATCATCATCCAGGGCCTTCTACATACACACCAAGTAAATTATACTACCTTTTTGTTGACTTGGCAATTTTCGTGACTTGAACCAATTACCCAAAAACCCATTGAAACAATGGTTTTGAGCTAACGAGCAACGTTCTAGAACAGTTGTGCTCGTTAACCGAGGGCCACCACTACAAGTAATTGAACAACACAGTAATGCACCGTTAATAACCAGATTCAAAATTCCCAATAATCTGCTGCCAGAGTTAATGCTATAATTTAGGTCAATTTTATCATGCAGGTAAAACAGTTAAGTCACTATATAGTCTCACCACCAAGCCAGACTATAAACAAAGTATCGGCCAAATACAGTATTTAAATAAAACAAACTTGCCGTTAGTATGTTCATCAATGTTAAATAACTTGGCCTAGCCTAGTGTTGGTAAACAGCCAAGGTGCCGGAGTCCTTACTATTGATGTGAAAATGAAAGCAATAAGAGTCGGGTCAGAAGCGCATCGGGACAACAGATAAACCAGACCAAGACCAGAAAATATTATCTTGCGGTGTTACTAAATTAATATTTATTTATATCGAAGTTAAGAATCTCCTCGTGACGGCCATTTTTGTTGTATTATCCTCAAGTGGTCTTCATCAGCTTAATGTTACTTGTACAGAGATGGTGGTAAAGACTAGCATTTCTAAACAACGCTTTCTAATATTTAGAGCTTATTTTGGAACATTTTTCATATTTTACTCATTCTTTAAAATTGGATTTAATCATGTTATTTATCATTTGACTAATTTTGTTATAAAAACTCTCTCCAGCCTCAACCTATGTTCATTTAAGAGTTATTGATACTGTAGTGAGGTCGTTCTTGGTTCTAATTTGGGTAATATTGGTCAACAAAATATCTAATACTTTACCGTATTTATATATAAAACAATCTTATCAGTGACAGTCTTTACAGATTATTTTCTACCATTAAAAAAACCTTTGTCTGGCCTGTTAATATATCATTCCTTACAATGAAGTGCTATAGACAGACTTCCACAGAGGACACTGCCATGTTATCCAATAAAAACATTATGATCAGCTGACCAAGTGTAAACTTCCCATAATAGGTGAACAGATTACAGTAACTGGTTTCCGTATTTATAATTTGCCGATAATAAAAATGATCGATAATTTTATTAACCCAAAACAGCAAAATGGCATCAACTAATACTTTGTTTACAGATACTGATTATTCAGCAAAATATTGATATTATCTGTGGCGGATATCAATGGTGCATCCCAAGTATTGTTCAGTGCAAATACTTTATTGATATTTACCTTAGAAGAGTTAACTAGACAAAGGCAGTCCATGGAGTTTACAATACTGTTCTTTGTCAAGAGTTTAGAAGAAAACACAATGAGAGATGACCTGTACTGTACCTAACCTGACTTGTGTTTCTGGTGCATCATAAGTCAGGTTACCAGAGAAGAACTCTTGTGGTCATAATTTCCTCCACCTTCAAGTCATCCTGGAATGAATAATTATTACAACTGTATTGTACTAAAAAATTAAATAGTTAACCTACAGTACACTGCCTATATACAGTACATGCTTCATCAATACAGGTATCACAATATACTGTACATACCTTGATAATAGTTTCAACAAAGATCTACACTACACGAAGCAAACAAATCTTGTTTGATGCTACTTTTTATCTATTATATGAATGTAAGATTTTCTTCTCACAGGAACCCAATACTGCAATAAGTAGAATTACTTCATAATGAATGCAATTTCAGGAACAAAATTTGGTATATTAAGGGGACACCTGTGAAACTAGTTTACCGACTGGTGAAGCATTACACAGCAGAACTTTGATGCCAGATATCAAGTGGAGAAAATGTAAGTAATGCAACCTTATTTTCTGTAGTTCTAACTAATGTGAAGGACAGTTTAGTGAAGGTGTCTGAATATTTTCTTAACCAGTTTGATCTGAAAATACAATTTGAATAAATTCCAAGATTCAAGAGTTCACTACCTCCGAGCATTCAGTGGGCTTTTCGATAATTATAACAGCTATACAAATAGCGATATATACCATGGAAAAATATTACAAAAATAAAACTACGTTGCTCCACTTCCACCTGGCAGATTAATTGCAGCAAAATTATCACCGGATAGTGTAGGTCGTACACAATACTTAGCTGGATCCGCCTTCTCTACGGACCTGGAATCTTAAGCGACCCAGAGCCAAGGCAAACAGGAAAACCTACTTTTGCCAACCGTGGCGTCACCCAGAAACATGGCAGCTAATGATACAGGCAATGTACCAAATTCATAAAACAAAAGCATGAATTTTCCCATAGATAATTATACATTGTGTTACCAAGAAAAATAAATTGGAACATAAAAAGTGACAGACCCTGGCACTGCTCTACTTCAATCCCAATATAAGCCTTAACTAATTTCTACACCTGTTTAGTAAATGTGTACAGTAAAAATTCCTTTATCTACCTATCTCAGTGGATAGTGATATCACCAATTTATTGACAAATAAGCTTTGAAACAGTTATGTAATCTCCTATTATACTGATTAACTGCCCCTATAGTTTTAATAGAGACTGTACTGTAATAGAGGATTATTGATATGAACAAAATGCAAGGTTTTATCACAATCAAGAGCTGTTGGTAAGAGTAAGGCAGAGTAACATTCATTTCTCACCAATTTCTTGTAGAATGCAACATTAAAAACAAGGTTAATTCAAAATAATTAAAACTTAGTCAATTTAAAAACTAGCATTTACAATCATGAGTCAGACTAATCCAAATACTGTCTACAAACGTCAACAATATCATGACGATGATTTACAATTCTTTACAACTACTGTACATAAAGTTTTGTCAAGTTTAAGAAATATCAATGAAAAACTTGTAAATTCCACCATTTATAACAGGTAATTCACATTC